CGTGTTCCTTCGAAGTCTAGTAGATCTACCCGAGAAGGGAAGAACAAACAGTCGGCATGTACACAAAAAGCCAGATCAGTAAAACAGATGTGCATGCCAAACTCTAGGTCTGAAACAAGACCATAGGCCAGAAGTGGGTGAATAACCGTAACTTTCTGCCTGAGTTTACAGCAGGTAAATGCGAAGAAGCAGAAGAAGAAGAAGAAAGAAGAAGAAGAAGAAGAAGAAGAAGAAGGAGAAGAAGAAGAAGAAGAAGAAGAAGAAGAAGAAGAAGAAGAAGAAAAAGAAGAAGAAGAAGAAGAAGAAGAAGAAGAAGAAGAAGAAGAAGAAGAAGAATGTTGCGTGTACATCTATTTTACAGATCTGACTTATTTCTGAGCAGACTTTACCTTTCTAAATCCATAAAGAGGAAAGAAACAAGTTCTTCGTAGCAAGCCATCAGTTACAATTGATTGTGTATTCCATTTAATTACCACAGAGTGAACAGGTGCTTCATTTAATGTATGCTTTGCAGGTGTTGTTAGTAGCGATCACTGCAGTAACGGTGTTAGTGCTTTGTGCGACGCTCTCGCTGACGACTAGCCACTTGTTTAAGAGGTGATAAGATATTTCAGAGAACCATTGGGAAATAAAACTGGTTCTTCAAACACCTCACAGCATTGTCAGTAAAAGTAAAATACCCTTTCTCCCGCCTTTGCTTGTACTGTGCATTAAGAGATAAACCTACAATTTATTGAACGATCGGCACTCGTTTGGTGATGTGGTCAGCCTTACGCCGACCGCCTTTACTTCCCAGGACTACACACGGTACCCACTCAAGGATGTGTGGAACTGGGAGACAAGGTCATTGGGGGGGGGGGGGGGGGGGGGGGTCCACCTCCGTCAGGACCCCAACCAACGACCATCCTATCCACAACCTCAAAGTATAGGGCAAGTTAAATGAAATCTCTGCCTGAGACTGGGTGAACAGTTCTAGATGCGGTGGGCTTTAGAAATGTGATCTACAGCAGTGTTCTTCAACATTTCAAACTTGTTACACCCGCTGACGGGTACAATATGGGACATTTTCTCTCAGCAGAAATTTTTTTCTCAGACCCGATGACAACTGACCAAGGCTGCAGCAACAACATATGTAGATAGCAGTTTTTGTTTATAGTGGATGCGTTGGTTGGTTGTTTGTTTGTTTGTTAAATCCGGTGTAAATTACAATTTTTTTAGTAAATACGAAATCTGCTGCCGCTTAGACTTTGGAAAAATCTTACATAAATGGCTGTAGCTTGCTTCTGAGAGACGAAGTACTGCAATAACATTCATTAGATTTCAATATGTGATTTTTATTACTGACATGCCCTATACATCCGGGACCATACTGTCGCGTGCAGCGCCTCATTCGTCAACGCCAGTGTAGTAGCTGACTGATAAAGCCAATAAATAATTAGGCGGAACATTTTATCGAGCCACCAAGAAATGTCTGCTGACTGGCGCTGGTCCGCATAGTAAAGGTCGAAGAAAATTGATCTAGAAGCAGAACTGTGATAAGTAGGAAACAGTTTCAGAACCACCGATCAAAATTCAATTATCCTTTGCAAGGTGGGCTATCCGGATGTTTGTAAGCTCAATAACGTTCCTTCTCTGTAACCGGAATTCTAATAAGTGCGACCACCCTTGATATTTCCCTTTAGGGAATGTCACGTTTATCGAAGTTTGAACAACAGATCAACAACATGGCACACGGGTAGTAACCCATAAGTACTCCATTCTTCTTCTAACTCATATCAGAGTTCGAAGAAGCTCAGCACAGTGCACAGGCTCTTTAGCACCAGCGAGGATCCTGAAATAAGTTGAGTAGATTATTAGCTCCAAATTTTGCCCGGGCAGCACCGTTAGGCTACTCTTTTCGATTTCCAACTGCCAAAGGATTTTTTTTTACGTGCACAACAATGCACACGGGCGTCCGATGTCACTACTCAGAGACCATAGGGAGTTACTAGAAGTCCAAGTCCACGGGAAAAAATTCCAGTCCTTACAGGGGATTGAACCCAGAACCTCTAGCACTCGAGACGGACACGATGCCTAGAGACTATGCAGCCGATCAAGTTTCTCATAATCATGCAAGATGTTCTTTGTAGAACATTGCCCCACATCATGGTTCGAATTGACACCATCTATCTCGCCTCACGAACTTTCCTACGCAACATGTCGCTTATATCCTACATGGAGAACCCTGGAGATCATCACCGGAGCTACGGTGTTCCTGCTCTATGGGACGCTCTCTACAGGTGACTAACTGTTCTCCGAAGAGAGACCGAGCCATATGGGATAGAACCTCGTGCAATGAGGTTGATCCTAGCGACTGTAACCTTAAGCCCATCTTCGCACTGGCAGGAACCTTCCCTTCTTTCTCGGTACCAAGCCTTCTGTTATTATTCTGTTCAGTCCGACTGGCGCTTGATATTGCCATAATATTTTAGTGTCCGGACAAGATACTGTTTACTAGCGAATCTTCTTTGATGTGTCAGATCCTTTATGATGTCAAAGCTTATTTTCTTCTTGGCGCCTGGTATTCAGTGAGATTCTTTAAATTTTATTCACCTCATTCATGGGGTATCCCAGAGTTCCTCACAAAGTCAAATATTATAGGGATGTTACTGTTAGATGGTGTTCATTTCAAAGCGTAACACCCCTTTAATAGTGGACATTCCGGGAAACTCCGGGATTCCGCCTGTTTGGGGTGAATAGGAAATAAGGAAACTAGTAAGATTCTTTCTATATCAGCGTCCCTGGGTGGGCTTGAACCAACAACCTTTCTGTTAACAATCCAACGCGCTAACCGATTGCGCCACAGAGATTAAGGGGAAAAAGGGGGGGGGGGGGGTCTCCGCTCTAGCACAGTCCAGCTGCGACTCGCTGAAGCCACGGCCGGTATTCGAAACCGGGCGGTTCCCGGGGTTCACCCAGCCTCTGGGAAATGGGTACCAGAGTTAACACTTTGGGGTAAACGGAGTTACGTGCGAACAGCAGCCCAGGCGGACAATTCTTATCACCTGTCATTACTGGTGACAGAGCACTTATGGTTTATAACCGTGTGCAACGATGCTGGTTCACATCTCCCGACTAAACTTTTTTTTTCTATATCATTTCAACTCAAAAGACTTTTTTTTTTCTTCCTTAATGACAGAGAGAGAGAGAGAGAGAGAGAGAGAGAGAGAGAGAGAGAGAGAGAGAGAGAGAGAGAGAGAGAGAGAGACAGAGAGACAGAGAGAGAGAGAGAGAGAGACAGACAGTCCACGACTCACATTCATACATTGCTACAGGTAAAACAGTAAGATACGTCGCTTCATTTAAAAGTGGCGGGAGAAAAGTACATTTGGTACCCGTATGCTAATATCCAAGTACGTCAAAGGTCCCCGAGCACGCGACATCTCACTATTGTCAGCGTTACTGACATGTTGGTGGTTCGTTTTTATTTGCTTATCTAGTACAGGTGAACCTGTATGAGGTTATACTGTCCATTCTAAAACTATGCAATGTAGCTCTGTACAAGGGAAGGGAAGACAAGGCAGGTCAGGAAGACTTAGATTAAAAAAGTGCTGACTAGACGGGTCTCATACACGAAAACAGCAAGTTCAGAGCATCAAATCATTATGTGAATGCTCAATTCGTTCCATTCTTCTTCTTCGCGTTCACCGGATGTAAACTCAGTCGGAAAGTTCTGGTTGTTCGTATACTTCTGGACTACAGTCCTGTTCCAGAACCTGAGTGTTGCGTCCTCATCCGTTTCACTGGTCTGACTCTTGCGTATGCAAACTAATGGTTCCTTGCCTCTCAGGCAGATGCACTCCAACTTCGAAGGAAGCTCCAAATAAGTCGACTCTGAGGACATGCTTGTTGGGGGGAGGGGGAGGGCATTGGGTCTCTTCTTGTTTTCTCCACAATGGGGGAACCCTCATCGGGACAGAGTCCTGATTGATCAGATATCAGTTGTCTATCTATCTATGTGTCTGTATGCCTGTCTGTCTGTCTGTCTCTCATAATGAAATTCCACAGTATCTGAAAATCAAATAAAATGTATATTCCTCCAAAGAATGTTCTTTTTCTTCATCATTTCGAGCTCCGGGGGTTCATTATCGAACTCTTTTCATTGTTCTCTCCGACTTAGTATGAGAGACAGACAGACAGACAGACAGACAGACAGACAGACAGACAGACAGACAGACAGACAGACAGACAGACAGATTACAACTAGAAGTGGGTAATTTCGCAGGATAAATATTCGTTCACTAAGGGACAAGTAGGTCACTGTCTGTCCCATTAAACTACAAAGGCCTTAGAGATAACAACGGAACGTGCCTTCTAGCATGATGCCTGCCGTCTGCTGCATGTCGCTGCAGACTACGTGACCTAAGTCTTGCCTCAATTTTTGGTCACAGACTTTAAAGTAATAATTATCTGTTTAAAAAATAAAAAAAGGGGGTTAAGGTAGCTGTTGTATATGGCGGGAGAGATTGTTCGTATAACTGCCATCAATGTATTTACCAGTTTTCCGGTGTAGACGGGGGTTTTTGAGCCCGAGAATTCAGCACCGCATGGCTAATGCTGTGGCCACATACTGATCAGGTTGTGTGTTTTTTTTTGTTTTTGTTGGGTCCCCAAATGGAATAAAAAAATTAAAAAATTCCCAACCTTATGGCTGATTCGAACCGGGATCTCCTGCAAAAGATCCCAGCAGTTTAACCATTCAACCAGCCGCTCCTGACGCATTCATATAGACTGCAGCAATTTGAGGTTTCATTAAATTCGTCAATTTGTGTGAGCAGTGTATTAAGTTATCGACGAGCACTTACGTAATTAGATGAAAAAGTATACACATGAGCAATCAGAAGAAGAAGAAGGAGGAGGAGGAGGAGCAGAAGAAGAAGAAGAAGAAGAAGAAGAAGAGAAGAAGAAGAAGAAGAAGAAGAAGAAGAAGAAGAAGAAGAAGAATCACAGATCTCTCTTACCATTTCTTTTCTCAGTTTCTCCATGGCCTCGTCAATCCTGTGTCTTTGCCTTCGATTACCCCTCGTTGTGTCATCAACATCAGATGATAACGACGACGACGAAGAATTTGATAATGAAGAGTTACTACATGTAACTTGATCATGTTGTCTGGCAGAACTGTTATACCATCTGGACTTCATACTGTTGGCTGTCTGCAAACGAGATTGGTAAAACTCTCGACATTTATTGGACAGTTCAATAGCGGCTGTATATTTGTCGTTGCTGTTGACCTCAATGAATCTCTGACAGTTATTACCACAACTTTCTCCCAAACTGTTCCCACTGCAACAGCTTTCTTCCAAACTGTCTTTATTACAACTGCTTTCTCGCCAACTGTCTTTATTACTGCAGACTTTCCCAAAACTGTTAATATGGTTTTCTCCTAAAACGTTATTATTACTGTAGCCTTCTCGAAGACTGTTATTATTATTTTCCCATCTCGACATTTGCAGGTAAGATTCGTTGGCCATGGTTTTTATGTTTCAAATTATCGATCAACTAATATTACCTGTTCTAATGTTTGTAGCACAAATTATCACAATATTTGAACCACGTTTGCTCGCATTCTGTATTTAGCTTGAACCTATCTGTTTTTATGAATCAATGTATTGATTCAGTATTTATTTTTTCCAGACGAATAAACGGTCTGCTAATTTCCTTGATGTCAGAAAGTTTAAAGTTTTGTACAGGCGGAAATTCTCTTTTTTTGTACAACTTCAGGTGTCTATTGAATATATTTATAGAAAGCAGCGATGAACTTGAAATTAGTCATGTCGCAAAGGAAAGCTTATCTTGTTAATTTAAGACATGTAATCTAGTAATTCAACCTTATTTTATTAAAACCTCCAAAAACGAAATAACAATTGATGACTTCATATATACAAATAATATTTAAACAACTTTTTTTCAGATTCCTGAAGTAAATAACACTGTTGGATTAATCTTTCCAGAAGTCAACAACGCGGATAGAACACGCAAAATGAACGTGGATGGCCAGTGCACTGTTTACATCCAACAAAAAGTTCAGCGGGACATCTGTCATCCACGAGCATGTCCGGGACTCAAGTAGTACAACAGTACAACAGTGTCTGAGTGAGACACCGCTGAGTCGAACTATATTGCTGGTTTATTCACCGCGGCGCGCTGTACCGCAGGCGATGGTCACTGGCTGCCACCACCGGTCGGATATAGAGGTGAATTATCGGTCCCACACCTAACGGCTCAGATTCTCTCTCGCTCTCTCTCTCTCTCTCTCTCTCTCTCTCTCTCTCTCTCTCTCTCTCTCTCACTCACATCAGTTAGATAAAGAGGTAAATTATCGGTCCCACACTTCACGGCTCACATTATTACTATTGTCGCTCTCCCTCGCTTAGTCCCATCTCTCTCGCTGTCTGTCTGTCTGTCTGTCTGTCTGTCTGTCTGTCTGTCTGTCTGTCTGTCTGTCTGTCTCTCTCTCTCTCTCTCTCTCTCTCTCTCTCTCTCTCTCTCCCATCAGTTAGATAAAGAGGTAAATTATCTGCCCCACACTTTATTACTATTGTCTCTCTCCCTCGCTTAGCCTCCTCTCTCTCTCTCTCTCTCTCTCTCTCTCTCTCTCTCTCTCTCTCTCTCTTCCTCCCTCTTTATCCCGACCATCAGTTAGATCCTCATCATCATGTAGCAGGTCCTTTGCAGAACGTCGCTTTCATCACAGTCTGCTTGAAAGAAACTCGGTCTCTTGCCAGTTCACACGCCTCATGTACTTTCATACTCAAGGAGCCACTTATATCCTGTGCCCATCTTCGTGTCGGTCGGCACCTGCTCCTCCTTCCTGGTAGTACCATGACTTCGGCTATACTTTTTTCCAATCCGTCGTGGCGCTTGATATGACTTAAATATTTCAGCTTCCGAGACAGGATGCTGTTTATTAGCCAATCTTCCTTGATGTTCAAATCTTTCAAGATTTAGTATTTCTCCTCTTCTTTGTCTAAGATATTCTGAGAATCGTTCTATAGCATTTCAGCTCAAAAGCCCCCATTCTCTTTCTTAAGGACTGAGAGATAGTCCAAGACTCACATTCATCTGTAACCACAGTTAAATAGAAAGGTGAATTATCAGTCCCATGTTTCACGAATCATACTATAACTTTTCTATTGTTTTCTTCTTTTTTCTTCTCATCGATATTTTTTTTATTTTTCGCAGTATGTTCTACTTCTTCTTCTTCTTCTTCTTCTTCTTCTTCTTCTTCTTCTTCTTCTTCTTCTTCTTCTTCTTCTTCTTCTTCTTCTTCTTCTTCTTCTTCTTCTTCTTCTTCTTCTTTTTCTATGTTATGGTGTCTTATCTAGAGCTCCCATCAATTGTCACAATTCTACCATATTCGCTGTTACTTGATTTTTTTTTTTTTTTTTGGAAGGTTCTTAAATTATGACTCATAGTCCTCTTGTTTAAAAAGAAGTCGCGGTAACACAGAAGCCTGCCATTCATGAGTTGCTGGGTTTTAATAGAAATCACAACGTTCATTTAAATGTTTTTATAATTAGCCTTGCTTCCCAAGTGGATCCAACCTAAAATGGATACGGGGAATGCCAAATCAAGTAAAAGTCTCAGACAAATTTTGATAAAATAACTCACTGAGTGCCGATTTTTCTATACAAAAATGAGTATGGCATTATATTCCATGGCACCTAGTACTATCGTCCTCTCCTTGTGAGATGCAATTTTTCGTTATTTGAAGCCAATATAGCCCGGCCATAAATATGGTCTAATGGCTGAACGCGGTTTCTGGGACCTATGGTAGCACATTGTGTCATCTGGTGTTTATCGCTTGTGTGATGTCCTGGTCGGGTGGAAAGTCAGTCTATCACGCTTCTTCTTTTGCCCTTTATGCACCCAGTGGAGCATAGGCCATCAACAACATTACGCCAGGTTGCTATATCCTGTGCCATGGCGTGCAGCTCATCCCATGACTTCCCTTCTTTACTCTCTAGTTCCCTTCTTAACGTGGTGTGTGTGTGTGCCTGTGTGTGTGCGTGTGTGTGTGTGTGTGTACTTTTATTTCCATATGTCTGTGGGTTTCAGTTTAGCGTCCTTTCAGTTATGTTGTTTTCAGGTTCTCTCAATGTATGTATTATCCAACTCCAACGTCTTTTATAAATTGTTTGATTCACTGAAACGTGTTTACTTCTCTCCCATTAGTGATTCCATCAAATGATTGTATTTCCTCTATTCTAACCAGGGAGTCGCCCTAGCGGAGCGGCTAGAGGCTAACTTGTGGATCGGAAAGTCGTGGGTTCGCTTCCTGGTGGAGCCGGCCTTTTTTTCCATAAATGACCTTGGCTCCCAGGTCTACCCAGCCTTAATTGCAGTCATGGGAAGTAAAAGCGTCTGGTGTGAAGCTGACTATATCACCCATCTTGTGTCGTTGGTCTTAAATTAAAGGTCTAGCCCTATATACCCAATACGCCTAAAAGGCGTGGAAAAGGGTGCTTTATTTTACTTTACTTACTATTCTAACCAGGCCCTATTCAATAGAGGTTTTTCGTTTAGTAGTAATTGTTCCCCTTGTTTCAACTCCGTACAGCAGATCTGGTTTGACTTTAGAGTTAAAAATAGCAAGTTTAGTATTCGTTTTGATTTCCTTTGATTCACACAAATGTCGTAGTGAAATAAAAGCTGTTATTGTCTTTTGTATTCCCCCACTGGCGAGGAAAAAAGATCTGATACTTTCTCTGTTCGAATCCACAAAGAACAAGCTACAAAATACCAGCAGAGCCGACACAAAGAAAAAAAAATGGGAATCTCCGGGAGAGGGATGAGACTCATTGTATGAAGCAACACAGCAAAGCTGAAACGAAATTGATATGAACCTAAGTAAAGTAATTGCGCACACAACAACACATTGCAATTTTTTATTGCAAGGCATATTTCGCTGCTTCTCAACGGATGCATTACAGAGTTACATCACAATAATTTTTTACAGCGAATTTATTCTGCTGAAATGTACAAATTACATGCATTTGTGTAAACAGAAGGAGCATATTATAAATGTGAAGTTACTATTATGGGTCAAGTGACTAGTGGGAATTTCCGACGGTTATTGAAACAACGGATGCTTGAGAATGAATGCGATTTTTGTATTTCAAATCAATTAAATGAATCAAGAAAGGCGAAAGTCAAACTTTGCTCAAGGAAACAACGGTCATAGAAGAAAAATGTACATGCACGATAACAGTGTATATCATGCCACTATACATCATAATCGTCTAGAAGAATGTATTCTATAGATAATTCTCTGTCTTGCCTTTCTTATCCCCTTTGTAGCATAGACCCTAAACCAATTCATGACAAGTCGTTGTTTCCTTCTCTATCGCAGGCAACTCTTCTCGTGTAATCCCCATTTATAAACTTCGCTCTCTAGCTGTCTTTCCCGTGTGTTATTTGGCCTTTCTTTATTACCATGATACTGTGGGTGCCGGTGCAAAGACATTCTAATTAAATTGTTATCAGGTTTTCTCAAGACGTTTCCTATCCAACACCAGCGTCTTTTCTTCACCTCTTGTCCACTGCAGCTTGTTTAGTTCTCTCCCAAAACTCTAAATTAGTTATTCTATCATACCATTTAATTCCCTCTGTTCTGCGCAGGCACCAGTTAATGAATGTTCACTATTATTGCCTTAGTTGCTCTCAGTTTTCTTTCCATCCAGCAGTACTGATTTGACATTAAAATTAACATTTTTTAGTTGAGTAACAGTTTCAAATTTTTTTTACCTCCACAAATTTCCTAGTGATATGATGGCTCCTCTCACCTTTTGTGTTTGTTTTTTAATATCTTTGTCAGTTTTCCTATATTTATCTATTTTACTGCTCAAAAAAAAAAAAAAAAAAAAAAAAACGAACGACTCCATGTCTTCAAGTAGAATACCATTAAAAGAAACCAAATTACTTTTTGCCTGATTTACTCCAACTGTCGGTGTCTTTCGGTTATGGATTTTCAGTCATAGTTGCTGTGATCTCGCCTCAAGTATATTTAATTTATCGTGCATCTGATTCCGTAAGTGGGACAGAAGGGAAATATCATCAGCGAAGTCCAGATCGTCCACTGAATTTCATTCTTGGGGTTAGCCGTTGCTGTTTTCATAGTCCAGTCGATTGCCAGTAAAAATACTAGATTCGTCAAAAGACATCCCTGTCGCACACCTGTTTTTATTTCAAAGGCATTTGTTAGCTTTCCCTCATGAAGAATTCGACATTTCGTGTGTGTGTGTGTGTGTGTATATATATATATATATATATATATATATATATATATATATATATATATATATATATATATATATATATATATATATATATATAAACAAATAAAAAAATGGAATATTTCTATTTGATTTATGATATTTTGATGCTTGTCTTCCTGGGCGAAGGCCATGGGTTGGAGTTCACATGAGGCGGATATTTATAAGAAACCTAAGATTAGCAGGTCGACCCAGAC